ATATAATAAAATTATATCAATACATACTATGTAGGTATAATTATACAATACGTGGTAACTATCCATCAATATTTTATGACTAGGTCTACGCACGAACAATTTCGGTCGAAATGATACGATAACCGCCATCTAGTGACAACAGCTTGAACCTCGTGGAAGTGAGATCATGAAATGTGAAATATTAAAATTTGTTTCCGTAATTTTGCCTTGTTGACGTTTTCCTGGAACGATATTGTTACACTATTACTACTATAATAAACTACAGATTTATAGCCATACGGAATATAACTCACAAATTAAAAAAAAAATAAATATCCATGGTGCTCATCGGAAGGAGATCAAAGAGATGCTAAAATTATGAAAGTATTCCCTTCGCGTATGCATGCACGATATAAATTCTTTTTTTTATCAAATTATTGTATATTCATAAAAAAATATTTACATGAGTACTAATAATTTAAAAAATCATACAACTAACAATAATGAATATTAAATGGTTAGTAACACTGCCATTACCGTTGTCTCATGAGATATTTTTCCAATGCGCTTATATTTGGACGTTCAACACATGTTATGCACAAAAATATCTATGATTATTAATCATATTTGAAATTGTCTGCATAAATGATGTTTTAATTTTTCTATGATTAGGTATATGTTAAAAATTGAGTAACAAAATAATTTTAATTAAATAGGGGACATAATATTTATACATAATACCATTTTAAATGTAATATTATTATATAGGACCTCGTATTAAAATACACTAAGAATATTATGAATTTTCTCTTCAAACCCCCCCCCACCGAAAAAATTGTATCTACGCCACTGGAGGAAGTACATTCAATACGAACAGGGACACCCCATGGGGGCAGTAGGAGCGATTGCCCCTCTAAGATTTTTCTTGTCATCTATAAAATGAGTTTTTTTATATAAAGTCGGTCTCGACTCTAATCAGATACTCAGCGATTATTAAATCCCCCCCCCCTGAGCTACATTTTAGCGGACGTCCCTGAACACAAATATGTTAATGAAGGGGTGTAACACAGTTGATTTTCGATATAACAATGGGATAAGTGCTCGTAGTCAACACGAAAATTCGCTTAAGTAACTATTGGACAAACTTATAAGATACACTATGGAAGATCTAAAAAGTCAGAGTGATTCAGCCGTGAAACGAAACTCCGGATTGTTTGCGCGCCCTACGGAGATACTGGATACCAGTGATCCGGTAACAGTTTTGTAACGATCATTCGTAACAACACTCTGGCGTATCGTCATGACTTGCTTATATAAATCTCTCTATAAACCGTGGCAAGCGTTCACTTTAGCTGCGCAACGTTGCCATGTAGCGGTGCATGTTTCTACAACGTCCTTGGATGCGTATCGTAAGTGCCCGTGACGGCATCGGTGGCGATCGTCGTGTTCTGCTGCGACGACAACAATGGGACGACGGTCGACCACCATAGCCCCACCGATCACCCCTTTTCCATCCTTCCCACCCACCGCTAGCAAACGAACACGCACGCACAAGCAATCGTTCTTAGTCCCTCCTCGTGACGTTGTCTTGGTATTCTCGTGTGTCCATTTCTTAATAACGGGTCGCGTTATTGTGTGTGTGCTTTCGTCGAACGTCCGTCAACGCGTCACACGGTCCTTACCAACTGCCGCCCGACATCCATCGCCGTTGTCGTCGTTCAGTGGTGTTCCAAGAGACAGAGTATACATCACAGTAGACGCGAACATACGCATGTCAATCCAGAACCTCAACGTATTTGGTGAGTGTCTAGACGCGCGCGTCCGCGGTTCTTTTGTTGTCATTAAATGTATCGCTCGCACGCGTGCCGTCGCGCTATTCGTTGTTCTCGCATCATTTTTTTTTTCGTCGTACGACGGGCGTCGTCCTCGGAACCGTGTTCTTCCGTACACCCGTCCGCTTGTCCCTTGGTTCTCAGCGTTGCGTAATATTGCGTCGCCGATCACGCGTTATAACCAACGATTGCGTGGGTAGACCTTTTTTTTCTTAATAAATTAAAATTTTTGAAACGTATTTACGATCAGTCTCCTATTCTTATCCTTTACAAATCTTTGCTCTCATGACGATTTCCTACGATTTTATCCATGGCTAAAAACCGTCGCCCTTTACCATCATTGAAACGTTCGGTTTCACCGTCTACAATGATGTAAAATTTTATGCGGATATCGGTATGAAACCCTTAACTTAAATATTAAATTTAAATCCCCGAGTAGAACATAATAAATTAAATTTTCATGTTCCATAATCCTACAACGTCATCTCGACCTTGTCTAAAGTATATAACTGTGTTCACTATTGCTTTTAATGAAATTTGTTCATTGGGTATGTAAAATTGTATGCACTTGATATTGTAGGTTATTATTTTTAATGTTTTTGTTATGATTGTTGTAATCATCAAGTCTTTCATATTGCTTTTTTCAAATAACTTATGGTTGGTGTTTTATATTTAAGACCCGTTTGCGGATGCAATCAAGGGTGCAGATGATGACGTTCAAGACGGGCTTGTTCACATAAGAATTCAACAGCGTAATGGTCGTAAAACATTAACAACGGTTCAAGGTCTGTCATCAGAGTATGACTTAAAGAAGATTGTACGTGCCTGCAAAAAGGTTATATTAACTTTTTTAATGAAAATGTTTATATGAATATTTGAATCTTACTTATATTACATATTTATAACTTGTTAATTTCGTTAAATTTTTCTTGGTTAGTTAAACAATAAAGATTTAAAATGAAACAAATACTTAACAAACTTGTAAACATCATGAAGTTTTATTTTTCGTCATAAAAAAACTAATGGTGATATAAATAATGCCCGAGTACCAATTTTCGTATTCACAAAGAATTAATAAAATAATACTTGATTAAATGAATTACTATATTGATGTAGCTAACAACAAATTATTAAATATATTCTAGTTAGCTTACATTTAAAAAAAATTCCTTAAATTGTCTTAAATTTTAGTTGAATATAAACAAAATGTTTTTTTTAATTAATGAAAGATATTAAAAGTGGTATTCTCTTCATATGTCATACAACTTACAAATTGAGAAATTTCTAATGATGTGACAAAGATTTTGATAACTGATTTGAATTCTTTATTAATTCTACTTAAAAAGCCTAGGTTCATTTTTAATTTTATCTAAAAATTCCTTGCTAAACACTATTGAAAATTAACATGAGTTGTTGACGTCAATATTTTCCCAATAAGTTCTAATATAGTTTAGTTGTGTTATTTATAAGTTTAAATAATTTTGGCTTGGTTTATTTTAGTATAGATAATATTTTTAATTTAACCAATTTTTTTTTTTTTTTAATGAACTTAATGATTAATTTTAAAAATCATCATTATCATATCAATAGATAGATATATATGTTAGAAATAAAATAAATATCTAAATTCCTATAATGATTAAAAATAAAAAATAAATGTCTTCCTATCCCCTTAATAATATTGAATATCTTTTAAATATTTAAAATTAACCAAATTACAACTCTTGTATATTGTATTAAATTAAAAATATTTATGTCTTCAGGAGTTTGCTTGCAACGGTACAGTAGTCGAACATCCTGAATACGGTGAAGTGTTACAATTGCAAGGTGACCAACGAGAAAACATTTGCCAGTGGCTAACTAAGTGTGGTCTTGCCAAATCTGATCAACTCAAGGTTCACGGTTTCTAAAAGAAACAACTGAATATGTTGCAAAACACCACCGATTACTATACCTCAATTCAGTCAGACAAATTGCGATAAAATAAAAATTTTAAATTAAATTTATTAATATGCTTTAATAAATATAATGTTCAATACTAGTGGTTTTTCCAATCAAATATTTTTAATTTAATTTTCAACTGTGTAGATTTTAATTAGCTTTATAGCTATGTATATCAACGCTACAGATATATTTAGAGAAAAATTTCATATGGTTCCAATAATTAAGTGTAAAAGAAAATAAGTAAATTCTGTATTATAATTTGTTCAACGCTCGTGATGTAATGGTGTTCTAAAGTTCATTAAATATATGGTGTTTTTCTTTGTGTTCATATATTATGATAGATTGCCACGCCCTAAGTAAATTTCATTTTATTATAACAAAAAACTATTCATTCATAGCCAATAAGTTAATTCTATTGGTCATTAAAATACTGTCAAACAAATGATTGATAAAATATAGTCTTATATTTTTATTATAAACCTAAATACTTATTAAATTATAAGACGTCCATTTATCCATCAATTGTAGATTAAAAATATTACTTAATTCTGCTAAGAATTTGTACTGAGAAATAAATAATCAAATTTAAAACTTAAAACTAATTATTTTTATCACTGCTAATGGAATTGATCAAACTCTTATATGCAATATGTCTATAATTTCCAAATAATTTTTGCATATACTATCTTTGAACATTTCATAGTACAATAGTATCAGCTAATACAATCTTCAAGGGCTCTAGAGAATCTGATCCTTACAACTGAATGACAATAAAAAACTTTAAAAAAAAATTGGTTTACTAATTAAATATTTTGTGTTACAAATGTTAAATTATTTTGACCCAATTATATATTTATAAACAAAGAAAACTACGTATATTGTATGTAGTATTATGTAAACCTAATATTGTATGTTTACAATTTTTATGAAAAAAAATCAGTTATAATACTTTGTATATAACTGCAACAATACAATTTATTTACATAATTAGCAATATTTTATAATTCCTTAAATACTTCTGGTGTATTAATACCGGTATTTAACTAAACAAAAATACATACTTGATTAATTAAAAAATACGTTTAATATAAGTGTTATATATGAATATTACAGATTAAATAATAATGTATCGGTTCAGAACAAATTCAATTTGTTGTTTATAGACAGATAAAAAAAAAAACTAATTTTCTTTTAAAAATTACATTGTTGTAACCAATATCACAATATCCAACCAAAATGACTGCATGTAAGCTATAAGACCAACCAAATACATGGTTGGGGATCTTTTCATCTGGAAAGTTGTTATATACAACATCATAATAATAAGTGGATTCTACTATATTAACATATGTATGTTTTTAAGCAAATACCAATAACTGATATTAGTTCTTATCTAGATTTTAATTCATAACTAATTGCTAAATCTAAATATTAAATTCTTATTTAGTATATTAACATATATTTTTAAAATATTAAAATGCTAGCTATTTTGTACACATGTAGCCTTATCATTGAGTATTTAAAGTTAATTTAATAGTTATCTACGCAATAATGTGTAAGCAATCATTCATTTGAATAATATATAATTGTTATATGAACCACAATCGCTATCTAGTTACAGTTAACGTGATAACAACTAACGATATTTCATATTTATATTATTCCAACTTGGTATTATTTTTTTAGGCTATGTATTATAGTAACGTAATAATAATTCCCTCGATTTATTTGTTGATATATTTAAATAATAATATCATAATTTTAATTAACTTTTAAATTTGTTAATGCCATTTTATATTTTACAAACTTATTGTGTAACCCTATTTATTTTACATTCAATCAGTGGTGGCTCGTGGGGTTCATTAAAGATAAGGCACAAACATTTTCCTCCTTTTTCACCATCTCAACTTAGAATTTACCAACAATGCCTTTTAATTTTATAAATATAATAAAATTGTTTGTGTATAAAAACCTTTTAATATAGGCTTATGATGAATGTTGTACAAAAATAATAAAAAATCTAAAAATTAGAAAATTAGGGTTTAAAAATAAATGATAAATTTAATTATACAGTTAATCAGTAAAATTTTTTAATTCCATATTGATTCATCTGTTTTTTTCTTCATAAATACTTTGATGACTTTATTAAATTAAATTAAAAAATGTTTAATAAATTAGATAGGTATTATAAATTTGTAACTTCTATTCTTATTCATTCTAACTTCATTAAATAAAAGAATGAACAAAAAATGATTAATAATAATCATATTCCTATAATCTATGATTAATAATTAGTGTTCGTTCTGTGCCACGGAAGACGATCGACGATAACAATTCGAAGTCGATAAGACCAACCAAATCTCGTAAATCGTTATAAAAATAGAATTCGAGCACAATACGATTGTGCCCGACAACGCCATATTAATTCTTATCAAAAAGTGGGGGAAATCTATCATTGTCAATCGGGGCACAACGAATTTGTGCTCGTCGCCTAATGGCCGTATAATATAGTATTAGTATGTATGTAGAAGCACCCGTAATTGTTAAAAAAAATTTTTTTCGATAATATTTTCAAATAATATACTAATTAACAACTATATTATGATGGTTAGAAGTAATACCAATAGCTATTCAATTTTAAATTCTTCTTTCTTTCAATTTTGTAGGTAGGGCACGTGCCCGTGTGCCCCATAGCACGAGCCGCCATTATATTCAGTTGTTCAATCTGTCCGACAATGTTGGATTTCAGGGCAATTAAGTCTTTATATGTCAGTATATTTTACATTATGTAATGCTTCGATTTTAATGTATAAATCAATTATTAATACTCTATCAATACATTATAGGATTCATACCCTTATATATTTTTAATGTTATTAATATTTTGATAATATTGTTAATTTTGAAATGAAGTATATTCAAGACAAAAAAAAATTAATTTTAACTTTCTGTATTGTTTCTTTTATTAAGCTTTATAACATAAAACATAGACTTAATAACTTTAAATAATACTATAATAGTATGTATTAAATGAAAAAATTTTTAACATGAATAATTCAAAGAATACACACTGGTGTGTATTACTTCTAATCTAATCACTTCGTGTTGATTTCTTAAATGCCTAAATTAATTTTCTAATTTCGTTGATAATTATTTATAATTTAAATTAATTTAATACATATTTTTATTTTTTAACCAATTTTTTTTTTCATAAATTATTAAATTTGAATTCATTTTTAAACCTAATTATTTGTATTTCTATTAGATTTCCCGAAAAATGTAAATGATAAATAAAATCATCAGATATTTAAAAATCCATGAGAGTTTAAATTTTACTAATTAAAATATTACACCAATGTGTAAGTTAAATATTTACCATCTGCAACAACAACAATATTAAACTGGCCGTATCTAATGAGTATATTTTTTCAAACTAAATTAAGTAAAGAGTATACAATATAAATACTATTAAGGCCTTACCTACAATGAATATATGTAATTATTTACATGGACTTATTATAAATTATAAATTTTTAATCATCTCGGTCATAATTAAGAGTTCATATATGTGTATAATGACCAAACGACCTGAAGAACCCTTTTTATATAAGTTTCTTTTCTCTGATCATTTTTCTTAATTGCTCTTTGGACAATGATTGTACGTAATTATTAATATCATTTAAAGTGTAAAAATATTTATCTAGTTTCTGAGATTTTATATAGCCGATAATTAGTTGTTTGATATCCATTAATAGTGTATACTGATGAAAAACTGCAAACTTTATATAATTATATAAATTACTTGTCTATTGAGTTTTATCTTATATACACCCAGGCACAAGCATTAATCTAATATCTACGTTGTTTCTTATTGTTTACGAAATAATATCAAAAACCAATTAATTCTCCTAGAAACTGTGTAACATTAGTTGGGCATGCCACCGGATGTACCTATATCAGAAACACGTGAATTCATATAGATACCTGTACAATTATTCAAACTTTTCGTATTAACTACAGTTAAAATCTTGGGGGTGCTACGTTATGAACCCACATCCCTACCATTAAATTTATCCAATATCTAAAAGATAGCATTATTATATTTATAATGCCATATACCTATCAATATACGAAGTGTGATTACTAAAAAATAAAATGTTCACTTAAAAAAATTTTTTTTATACGATTTTTAATAATTTAACATTTTTTCCCTTCTATATATTCTCCGAGTTTGATACGTAGGTCTATTTGTATTTTCCATTGATTGAAAAAATTTCTTAAAAATCGTTTTGCGCTTCTTTTAATGCACTTTTAACTATTGAAAAGAGCCAAAAGTCGCATAGAGTAAGATATGGCTTATATGGGGCGGTCTGTTTTAGCACTGAAATGTAATTTTTGTCTAGAAATTGTTTTACTATTTACTATTTTACAAGAATTTAATCAATGTATTGAAGAACCTTGTATGCTAGAAATAGATCCTACATAAAAAATACATCATTATACATAAAAATTGGAATTTTTAAAAGCATCTATTGAAAATTAAGTACAAATATTAAAACTCAAGAGGAATCTATAAAAATTAATCTGAAAGCGATTTATATAAAAAGAAAGACATATACTTGACTTCCTCAAATTTTAGGAAAGTTTGTAAGGTGTAAATAACTACACTTAAAAATACTATTAAATGTACATACATATTGTACAATAAATATTACGATAATTCATCTCTTTGACAAACCCTCGAAAAAATTGAATCTTCAACAATAGGGGCTTACGAAATAATAATATATTTAACAATTTCATAATTTGGTTTATTTATTAATGGAACTTATTTTTTGGATGCAAGTCTCGATTGATTAACCGAAAACGATGCAACCTTAAAAATTAAATGTCCATTTTTATTAAATGTCGAACACCTGAAGGTACATCTAATGTGGGAAAGTATTGATTAATTATGGGGAATTAAAATTAGAAATTAATGGTAATCAGTGGCGTAGCCAGGATTTTTAAATGGGGGGGGGGCTAACTACTTTTTTTGGATAAGTAAGGTAAGAGAGGATATGAGAATTCACCCTTAACCCCCCCTCACCATCTACCACCAAGTTTCTAAACGTAATTCAAGCATTTTAGTATAGTTTTAAAAATATTTATTAATATATAATTTATAATAATAATAATAATTTTGGTTTCAATGTTCAGTAACTTGCTCTACTCTGACAGCTGCATTCTCTTAGGCGAATTTCTGGCAAATTCAGTTATTATTTCACTTTCATGGAATTGCTCTTTTTTATTTATATTAGCCATAGCTAACCCATTCAGTCTGTTTTCCG